CACGCTTACGCAAATGTTTCGAAGGTGTCGACTGCGATTATGGGTGCTCCATTTCGGTATTACAATGCAACAGTAATTGTGAATATGTCAAAAAGCAACATTGTGAGAACATGAAAATGGTAAATAACAATATTTATTTAAGAAATTGCCATCCGTTTCCTTTTAGTTAAAGCAATTGCCAATGATATATTTGTCTGTTCGTAGTTTAAATTGCCATCCATTTCCTTCTACTTAAAAACTACCTATCGTCCTATTAATGTCATACCCTCTCATACTGGAGCCAACTCCTCTCATACGCTAACGATGGCAGAAACAAGTAACCATTACTGACTCAAGAAATTTCCTTCAAATGTCAAATCTTCAACCTTAAACCTTCTATTGAATCTGCAAATACACAGTGATGATGCCCCAATTTGCCCCAATTGTTTTGAAACACTAATGTCCATTTTGTTTTCTAGATGTTTACAACAAGCAAAAAAGAAACAGTCCCAAATGGTTGACACATCAAGTGAGAATATAAAGACCCAACAAACTCAAGCTTTGTGAAATATCCAAACCGAAAATTGTGAACATTACAAGCATATCATCACATAACCAGGAGAAAAAAAAAGAAAAAAAATGTCATTAACAAAAATATTTTCTCAATGGGTATCTGAGAAAACAAAACCTTTACAGAACCTGAAATAACCAATACCATCACACACCCAGAAGAAAAAATCTACAAATTTTTTGAAGGGTTGTGTGCGTAATCTTCACCGACCAAAAAGAGAGAGACCCAGAAGGCTAAAACATCGACCCACGCATATAGTATGATAGAGGGGTTAGGTTATGGAGCAGCCATTAAAGACAAAGGAAAGTGGAGGAACAGAGGAGAGAGGAGAGAGTGATGAAGAAGGTAAAGAAAAGAAAAGGTTGGAAAGTGGAAGTGTGAGAGTGGAAAGAGTAATTAATTCGGGCGATTCGGGGAGCCCATTGTCGAGCTACATAGCGGTTCTGAACGGGGCAATGTATAGAATTGGTTCAGGAAAAAGCATTGATTTTCTTTGCACCTACCAAATCGCCGAAAATGGGGAAATTTGCAGATTTGGTTCACATGCCCAAAATTAGTGGCGTGGAAGAGATGTTACCTTGTTCTTTGGGGGATACGGGCCGAAGTAGTGTAGATCTGGTCGGCGGTGGTGCAGATCTGGACGAGGAATGGTCCTTCATGTCGGTTACAGTTTTCAAGTGATTACGTCGAGATCTGCCTTTGGCACGGCTGTGGCGGTGGTGCAAGGTGAAGGGTGTGACGGATCTCCGGCAGTGGGTGGTGTGTCTTTGACGGACTAGACTTGTTCAACCGACTGAGGGTTTTTGTCTTGCTTGCCATTCTTGCAAATGGAGGTTGGAGAAAGAAAGGGGCTTCCTGATAGCGTATGTTTTGTGATATATTCGACTCAGATGCAGCAACAAAAAGGAAAGGCAGAAACGTAATTTTATCCTTTGCAGAGTCAGACAGGGTTTTGCCGCCCAATGCATAGAGATAAGGTAACATTTTGACTTTTTTAATAACTTTTTGGCTTTTTATCTTTTTTAGTAGATCCCAAACCAGCCCTTAGTATTTTTAGTTTTGATTTGATTTGAATAAATTGTATAATTTTTAAATCTTTTTGAGTAATAAATGCTTTATTCAAAGCATATTATATAATTGTTTTCACTGCTGTGCATTAAAATTGCTAGACGAGTCATACCTAATTAGACGGGTCGTGCATCAACCATAGTTTAGTGGTGATGATCCATATATTAAAATTGTTAGACGAGTCATACCTAGTAAGACGAGTCGTGCATCAACCATAGTATAGTTTAGTTTAGTATAGTGGTGACGATTCGTGTTAAACGAAGATGATTCGTGACTTTCTGGTTTTAATATACAAATCCTCTTAACGATGTATTTCTGATCAATTTATATCGTTTTATCCAAATTCATGATTTTCTAAAAACTAATACAATAATCCCTGATTATAAGGTTAGTGGTAGATTCAAAATCTTGAGATATTTCTTATTTTATTTTATTTATTTTATATTTTATTATCTTAATTAGTTTTAGTTTTAGTTTTAATTTTAATATTTTCAAAATCTTTTTTTTTAATTACTTTAATTATTATTTTTTGTATCAACATAACTCAATTAGTTCTTGAGAATTGACACCTGATCTTAACCGTTATACTTCGGAATAGTAGTTATTACTTAAGTTTATATATAATATTTTGGTGTGCAAACAATAGCACCATAGACGATAAATGTGATTTTAAAAATAATCCATATTTTTAAAAAAAGAATTAAAAAATTATGATAAAATTATATGATGATAATTATTGCATTAATTTGATTTTTTGAAGGGTAAATTATAAATATACCCCTCGATATTTACTTAAAATACAGATTATTTCTTGTAGTTATAAAAATTACAAATACTCTATTGTCAAAAAATTTTATTTAACAGAAAAATAAAATTTCTAACTATTTTATACAATAATAAAATTACTTGAATTGTTGATTGAAATATATTTAATATATCATTAAAAACTGCTAATTAAATTGATGATTAATAAAAAAAAAGTCTTTTGTAATGCGATTAGGCACTTAAAGGTGTGGCATGTAATTTCTAGAATTACAACGAATAATTCATATTTTAAATAAATCCCGATAAATGTATTTATAGTTGACTTTATTTTTAGTGAATGATCTACGTATACGGACTAAAAAGATCAATGGATGAAATAATGAAAATAAGGCCCATGATGATCCCAAAGCTGGACTGGACAATCCAGCAGGACCTAGAGAAGAGAAGCCCAACAACCTTTTAAATTAGGGAATTTATCTTTTACCAATCGGTAAATTCAATAGTTTTTTGGAATATTTAACGTCTCTTTCCAAATTTTGATAGTGAGAGAGATCTATAGTATTATTTTCTGTAACTTAAGGTTCCTGTGCTCATCACCACCGCCCCTCTCTCCCACTCCCACCATTCCAACAAAATCCGAAACTGTCTGACAACACCGAGAAGCTCTTGTTTACAATGGGTGAGCCTGAAAAGGGCCAAACTCTGGTGTTGGTGCTGACCGATTGATGGGTTTGAGGGCTATTGTCTACAGGATGTGTTGGGATCTCCTAATGGTTTGGGTACTGCTACAATGAATGAGTTCTATAACTTTTGACACAGCTTTCAAGTATATTTCTTTGTTTAATATATTTATCATCCTCATGATGTTTTTAGTTTCAAATACTATATGTATGTATAGATGTTTTTAGTATCAAATACTATATGTATGTATACATGTATTCTTTTTTTGTACTAATAAAATTACAACTCTCCTTGTTGAGAGATGTTTTTGTTAGGTTTTTATTCTTGACAATCCCGTTTGACAAAATTTTTTTCAGTTGTACTTATTTTTGCACTTTTTATTTCAGTGAGACTATGAGTTTTTAGATGCGAATCCAATCCGAATTGTGCCTTGCAGAGAAATTTGTGATGTTAATTCTTTCAAGATTGCCACTTCGTTGATTATGACGCGGATCGAGCTAGCCGGTCAGCTCACGGGAGTCCAGGGGGCAGCGCCCCTTGTCGGGTCCGGGGCAGTGCCACGGCGGGGTCGAGGGGCAGCACTCCCAAAGCAAAATGCAAAATACATTCCAAGTTGCATGTCCGCTCGAGCGGACATTCCCCCGCTTGAGCAGAGAATGCTGAGTTCCAGAAGTTTATTCGTCTGCAAAAATACTGGATGTTATTTTTTCCCACTCGAGCGGAACTTTCCGCGCTCGAGCGTAGGTCCACTCGAGCGGCCAATCCGACGCTCGAGCGGAGATCGCGGGACAGTTTTCTATAAATACGTGTTTCAATCCAAATCTAGGATTACTTCTCCAAATCTTCTTTTTGGGTTCTAAGATTTATATCTAGGAATATTTTGCTAGTTTTCTTTGATGTTTTAATTGAGTATTCAACTCATGGTTTAAAGAGTATACATCAAAAGATTATTTGTTTGTTCTACATAAAAGAGAGAGTTGTTCTTCAGTAGATTCTGAAGAATTCGAACCTGAAGCTCTGGTGGATTCTGGAGTGGCTCATCGTCAAGACAATTCCGAGGTGAAGACGGGGTTGGAAGAGGCACATAGGGGTTGGTTCAATTTTTTTGCCTATTTTGATTTTGGAATAAAGTCCACATCTCATTGGTATACTTGTATGATGTTGGACTCTTGACGTGGATATCAGAGAAAATTAGTGGAAAAACAGATAAATTTGTGAGTAAATTAGTAAAACACAAATAAATTTGTGAGCAAATTAAAAAAATTTCAATCTAGAGAAAATTTCAGAACATAAAAAAAATTAAACAAATTGAGCAAACCAGAGAAATTTCTCTAAAAAAATATTGAGGGATCCCAACCACTATATAAATATTACCTATCTTTTATCCTATAAAATCTTAATATTAAGGATCTTAAAACAAATTCTCCTAATTTTTTCTAATTGGTTCGTTCTTTGCCCTTTACATTCTCTTTCCTAATGAAGCAATTGTTAGGAGAAAAAATTAATTATTATTATTATTATTATTATTTTCAATTGTTAAGGAATTATTTTATTTTATTTTATTTTTTGCGTTAGTAATTTCGAGGAAGTTGTGTGGAAGATACTTATTTTATTTTTCACTTTAATAATTTCAAGGAAGTTGTGTGGAAGCTATTTACAATCTTATTTTATTTTTTGCGTTAGTAGTTTGGAGGAAGTTGTGTGGAAGATACTTATGTTATTTTTCACTTTAGTAATTTCAAGGAAGTTGTGTGGGAGATATTTTACAATCTTATTTTATTTTTTGCGTTTGTAAGAAGTTGTGTGGTAGACTTTTAAATTGATTGACTATATGTTTGGTAGAACAAGTTAAATGCAGGTTTGTTGTGCAGTAGCTATCAGAATTCATTGTTTATTTATTTATTTTAAGGACAGAACTCATTATTCATTATAATAACAATATGTGTCCTTATCTTTAGGTATTAACCATTTATTGTGGAAAAGCTTAATCCAATTTCATGGTTTTAAACAATTTTTTGAAAAAGACTTGATCAAGAAATAGTCTTCCCCCTAGACTTCTATAAAAAGAAGAGGTTCATCTATTTTCTACTGTATATGTTTGATTCAGCAATTTTGGCTGTCAAAGAAGCATATTAGTGTATGTTATTTCTAACCTTATTTTCCCCGTTTGCATGATTCATTTGTTGTGTGGGCTGAAAAAAATATATTTTTAAAAATATAAAAAAAAAAATCAATGGATTTGTTTATTTGTATGTTTATTTTGTTCATTTTTGTTTTCTATTTTCATTTTTGGTGTTTTCGTAAACAACATAATGAAAATTTCAAAAACACCTAAGTGTTTTTTATTTTTTATTTTTTTCCTTTTTGTGTGAAAGCAGTTTTTGAAATTTTGAAAATAACTTGTTTTTTTTTTTGTTTTTATGGAGAAGTGAGTTGTTTTTAGAACAAATTTATTGAAAACAGTCTGCCAATTTGCCAAATAAGTTTTGGTATCTTTTGAAAATAAGAAATAAAAAACGAAGATACCACCAAATAGACTCATGTACTTTGCTTCGATTCAGCCCACATTCATTCTGAATCTTGTGGGAATCACGCACCTAGAATAAATCCAGGCAATGGGTTTTAATTGTATTTTCATTTTATTGGTTCTTGTTTTCTGTTTATGAAAATTTGAAAACACCCAGTATTTTTGTTTTTGTGCAAAAATAGTTTTAAACAACTTTGGTGGTTTCTAAAAAAAATAAAACATAAAACAAATACACAACCAAACATGTCTATGTGTTTACAATAGATTCACAATGAATTTGATGGGAGTTACATTTAGAATGAATCCAAATCAAAATATTGATTTTTATTTATTTAGTTTTTTTTTTTTTGTACGTTGTTGTTACACATTTTTGTGCACATAAAAGTAATTTTTAGGTTGAGTTTTTTTTATTATTTATTTATTTAATTTTTATAATAATATGGGACAATAGGATCATAAATTGGTTGGTGCAATTATCAATTTTAAGACTAGTATTCTACAAAAGCCAAACATATAAGAAAACCAAAAGACAATTTGAATTTTCTAAGACTTGGGTAATTATTTAGTAGTAATTCCGGAATATAGAAATGCGGTATTCTATAACATTGTGATTGGTGGAGAAAGTAGGTTGGTGAGATATTGAGTTGGGTAATTGAAAACATAAGAGGACATATTAATAATGATTAATTAAAGAGTACGGATACGTGATACTGCAAAAACATTCTATAATTTTTCCTAAAACTAATTCTTTTATTTTTTTTCAGATTTCCAATGACGAAATGTGTTGAAATCTTGAAGAGAGAACGTGATAGAATATGTGGGATTGCAGACCAGTCATGGGAGGATTGAAGATGTCTGCTACAACTCTCTTGAACAAGTAAAATGATCCTCCTTGGAGTAGCACAGGAAAGATTTGGCCTTCTCTAAATTTGAAGTTGACTATCATACTCCGTACTTGTGGAGCTATTCACGGGTATCATTTAAATGATTCAAACAGTTTATTTTATAGTTTCGTGTATATTATTTATAAAAATAATTAAATAGATTCAACAATAGTAGTACGTTTTATTTTATTGTATTTGTTTCTAAAAAATAAATCGTCTAATTTTAAAACATACTTGTCATTTATTTTTTAGAGACAAATGCAATCAATTGAAAATGTTATAATTATCAGATTAATCTAATTTTTCTCATGATTGATATGCATGAAGTATTTTACAAAATGAACTATTTAAATCATCAAAACGAAATTTATGATAAATCTCATGAGACAAAACATGACAGTTAAGTTTAAATTTAAACTTGAGAAACCCAACCCAAAAGAAAAACCTCGTGATTTATCCTCTGTTTGAAAAAAAAAAAAAAGGGGGAATTTTCCTGCAAACAAGATGGCTTTTAATTATTGAATAATTCTTGATTTGGGGCAAAGAAAATGTGAAGCTGTTTAAAAACAAAAAAAAAACAAAAAGAAAAAGTAGCGAAGACCACCCATGGTTCATTTGATTTTAGCGAAATATATTAGTACAATATAATATAATATTTTATTAAAAAACAAAAAGAAAAATGAAACATAAATGATTCATTTTCGAGTTATGAGTTTATGTAGATAAATAGGGGTAATGATTGGTGGCTACAAATTCTGTGGTTTAAATGGCCCGAAAATGTCAAAACGACATCGTTTTTTGTATAAAACAACTCTGAAAATGCCAAAATGACGTCGTTTTGACATTTTCGGACAATTTGAACCACATAATTTATGGCCACCAAACATTTTCCGATAAATAGTTGGGAAAGCCCATGGTATGAAGTCCCTTATTACACATTGGCGTAATTTTATTGAAAAATTTCATAACATTAATTTACAAAATACGTAAACTTGTCACAAATTAATATAATAAAATATCTAAAATTTTGTAATTCATATTATAAAAGTTTATGGCCTAATTACGACATTTTTTATTACGCTAATTTATGACGAGATTACACATTTTCTGATTGATGAAATTTTGTGATTTAATTACATCAATTTATAATATGATGCATAAATAGTTTGAACTTTGTAGTCATACATAATGTTAGCCACGTTTGGCTATGAAGCACGGATACTCCGAAATAGGTCACGTATGCGTATCGGATATGTATCGGATACGGATACGCGCCCAATACGCGAGGATACGTATCAGATACGGGAAATAGAGTATCCGTATTTTTTTTTAATTTTTGAATTTTGGATACGTCTCGGATACGGGAGGATACGGTATGGATACGGAATGGATACGGTATGGATACGACGGGGGCAAAAAAATAATTTAAAAAACTTAAAATGGGGTGAAATTGTAAAATATGAAAATAAAGATGAAATTAAACACAAAAAAATGAAAAATAACAAACCAAACTCTGTCTTACCTACGAATTCGACGCAGCCGCGAAGGAGGAGGAGAAGCAGCTCACCGATCGTCTTGAACAGCTCGCCGATCGTCTCGAACAGTTGATCGTCTCAAACAGCTCGCCGATCGTCTCGAACAGCTCGCCGATCGATCTCATCTCGATCAGGTTCGTCCATCTCTCTCTCCCTTTCGCTCCCTCTGTCTGTCACGAACTCTCTCTCTCTCCCTCTCCCTCTCGATCTCGCTCGATCTGTCTGTCTCGACTCTGGTTCGAGTTCGAGATGTCGATCTGTGATTCTGTTCTGCCTTCTGGACTTGGATGTTTATTTATTTATTTTATTTTATTTTATTTTATTTATATATGTAGACTAGACTCTGCAAATCACGTAGTAAAAAAAAAAAACACTTATATGTAGACTCTGCAAATTGAATAAGTTTATTGAATAAGTTTATTAAATAAAACAAACAAATAAATAAATAAATAAAATAAGGTAAAAAAAAACTTAGTAATAAATAAATAAACTTATTTAAACTTTGTAAACTTATTAAACTTTGTAAACTTATTAATAAATCAAATAAGGTAAAAAAAATTTATTAATAAATAAATAAATAAATTTATTGATAAATAAATGAACTTTGTAAATTTTTTCCCCCTTAATTTGGGATTGAATTGCATTATGGTTGTTATGGGTGATGCTATATTGTTAAAATTGTTGAAATTTAATTGAATCGATGAATTTTTTGTTATGGATGAGGATGATGCATTATGGTTGTTATGGGTGATGCTATATTAATGTTTTTTTTTAAATTTAATTGAATTGATGAATTTTTTGTTATGGGTGATGCATTATGGTTGTTATGGGTGATGCTACATTGTTAAAATTGTTGAAATTTAATTGAATCGATGAATTTTTTGTTATGGATGAGGATGATGCATTATGGTTGTTATGGGTGATGCTATATTGTTAAAATTGTTGAAATTTAATTGAATCGATGAATTTTTTGTTATGGATGAGGATGATGCATTATGGTTGTTATGGGTGATGCTATATTGTTAAAATTGTTGAAATTTAATTGAATCGATGAATTTTTTGTTATGGATGAGGATGATGCATTATGGTTGTTATGGGTGATGCTATATTGTTAAAATTGTTGAAATTTAATTGAATCGATGAATTTTTTGTTATGGATGAGGATGATGCATTATGGTTGTTATGGGTGATGCTATATTGTTAAAATTGTTGAAATTTAATTGAATCGATGAATTTTTTGTTATGGATGAGGATGATGCATTATGGTTGTTATGGGTGATGCTATATTGTTAAAATTGTTGAAATTTAATTGAATCGATGAATTTTTTGTTATGGATGAGGATGATGCATTATGGTTGTTATGGGTGATGCTATATTGTTAAAATTGTTGAAATTTAATTGAATCGATGAATTTTTTGTTATGGATGAGGATGATGCATTATGGTTGTTATGGGTGATGCTATATTAATGTTTTTTTTTATTTGTTTACCATAAATTTTAGGAAATGAGTTCAGGTACGTAAAAAATTATGCAAGTTAATTATTCAAATTCACCTTCAAATATAGTAATGTCTATTCACTAAAACTTCATAATTTCAATATAAAAGTAATTATAAAAGTATAAACTAATAAATTGAAAATGTACATCATAAACAAGTCAATCATAAGTTTGAATAGAATCCCAAGTAGTTTATGTAATCAAGCAACACTAGAAGTTGAAAAAAATAAAAAAATACAAATTATTAACCAAACTAAACTAAACCAAACCAAACCAAGTCTTAAATCCCATCAAATGGGGTCAGTTACATGAATTCTTTTTCTCCACTCGATTCTATCAAATCGGCGTACCTGTACCAAATTAAGGAGAATCATTTCTCTATTTACTACAATAGCCTCCATCAATTTAGGTCTGCCATTTTCCCTAACACTTTCTTCTACCGTTACTGCATTGCATCTCTTCACTATTGCTTCTGTTGGTCTCCATTGTATATGACCAAATCATCTCATTCTATTCTCTTTCAACTTATCTTCTATCAGTGCTACTCTTACCCATTCACGAATATACTCATTCCTAGCTCTGTCTTTTCTAATATTGTCACACATCTATCTTAGCATCCTCATCTCAGTAACATTCATCTTATTTACATGTTGTTTCTTAGTTGCTCAACATTCCGTCACATATAACATCACTTGTCTAATAGCTGTTCAATAGGACTTTCCTTTTAATCTAGTGGATACTCGTTTATCGCACAGTATCCTAAACATACTCCTCCACTTAAGCTACCCCGCTTTAATTCTATAGGCCGCATCTACTCCAATCTCCCTAACCGTTGTACTAATTGATCCTAAATAACGAAAATGTTCACTCTAAAGCAGTTCTTAGTTCTCAATCTTCATTTCTTATCTATTTCCATAGTTATTATTACTAAGTTGCATTCCATATATTCTGTCTTAGTTCTACTTATCCTAAATCCTTTAGATTAACGTCTTTCTCTCTAAATCTCCAACTTAGGGTTAACTTCTGCTCTAGTCCTATCCACTAACATAATATTATCTACAAAAAGCATATACAATGACATATCATCTTGAATATTTCTCGTTAACTCATCTATAACTAAAATAAAAAGATAAGGACTTAATGTTGATCCTTGGTGTAACCCTACAAAAATTAAAAATTCACTTGTCTGTTCAGCTAGCGATCTAATAGTGGTCAACACACCTTTATGCATTCTCATAATTTAAGAATAACAGTGGATAAGATAATCAGATCATTCAAATAATCAATCAATCGCTTCCAGCTTGAAAAATAATATGGAAAAGTTGCATTATATCAACCCATAATCAAACCTAATTCAAAATAAACTCCACAAGACAACAAATTTAGCAATGACCCAAATAAGAACTCCAAATTACTAGTGTTGTGAAGCATATTCTAATCCAACAGCTAACCTCAACAATCACAAATTTTTGGCACAAAAATTCAAATTGGTAAATGA